AGCTTGCTAAGGTGATATCAGGGGTGATATTCAAAATAGCTGAGAACTTCTAAGTCACAGGCACTCACTAGCCAGAAAAGAGGCCAGCCATAGTGCTGGAGTAGGATCCTAAAGCCACGGTGTTGCCGGACAGTGGGAAGTTCAGGGGCTCCCTTGGGTAGGCACTGTCTGCCGGCCAGACAGAGGAAGGCAGCGGGGCCTCCGGGCAGCAAGCTTCTTACGCACTGGCAGAGGAAGAATTTCAATACTTAGCAGAGGGAATGGCCGCATCAGTGTGTGTCAGCTGCTCGGTACACTACCCTTGAGACTTGGGACCTCGAGCAGTTGCCCTTTTGTAATGACACTTTCTCCCCAGTCTCTAGGCTCTATTATTTTCAAGGCCACGCTGCAAGGCAGGTTGATAGAGCTCAAGTATGATGAGGAAATTTGAATTGAAAGGCAAACCCTAACTATGAAATGCATGAGTGGGATTAGCCCTTGGCAGTTTAATTCTATGCAATCACTGTTATATGGACTGCCCAGCCTCTGAACACTTGCCCACTCTCAACAAGACTCATAATCATGCCCCGGTCACCCCATAAAAGACAGAAAGAACCTCGTGGTTCTTTCCCAAGCGTCCCCTGAGGCAACAAAGCACACATTTGGTCTGAGCTGCTGCTGTTAGATCTTCTGTAATCCGCCAGTGGAATCGTCTTTCTTCTGTCCAAGCAAGGAAGGCCGAGCACTCAGGGGTCATGATGCTGCAGGAACAGCCCCTAGGATCCACCTGCCCCTAGACAGGGTGGCCAACATCCTGCCCGGAATCAAAACAGTGTGCGCTTTACTTTATTCTTGCCTACACGTCTTCCTCTCCTGCCCTTGCTGGATCTGTGTGTGGCTAGGATACAGCCTTAAGCAAAGTACTTTGTTTTTACTGCAAATTATACTCTGGTTTAAAGCCCACTCAAAGGAACATCAAGAGAAAAATCATTTTGGTCCGATGAAATCAGGTGAGATGAAGACACAGAGACACAGAGTGGCTAAGAGACTTGCCTGAGGCCATGCTGCCAGTGAACCCAAGGGCAGGATTAAAGTCCAAATCTGCTCCTCTCCCCTCAGCCCACCTGGCTGTCCCGTTTCTCATGTATCGACCACTCATTCTCTTTGGACAACTTCTGTGTTGTCCTTCTTAATGCTAGTGTTGAGATTTCAGAGCATAAGAGCCTGGCTTTGTTATTGATTGAAAAGAATTCAGCTTGAAAGAAAACACAGGGGAGAAGTCATCGTTAAGCCACCGTGGCGGTAGGTCTGAAGGTGTGCAGGCTCCGGAGCATCTACCGGGGAGAGGAGGCCAGGAGTGCCCTCCCCCACTTCTTGGGAGTTAGCCTGTTGCACCCTCTCGCCCCAGCACAGCTCTGCCCCCTGTGCTGTTACCTGTCCCCATCTTTGAGTTGAACTCAGAGAGGGTTTTCAGGCAGCTGAAATGCACAGCACCTGAAATGACAAGACCGTGCTCACTTTAAGAAGCACAGGACCTAGAAGGCACCAACCCTCAATGACACAGGCCATCACCACAATGCTGTGTGGCCCATTCTGGGTGTGCATGACAGCTGTCAAGAACAAAGGTTTCTTCTGTCCCAGAGGCTGGGGCTTGGTGTCAGGGATTTGGGCTCCTACCTCAGCTCTGCCACAACTTTGCTGCATAGCACAGAGAGACTCAGGATCTATTCAAGCTTTCATTTCACTTTCCTACCTCTCCCCGCCAAGATTTATCTCCCAGGAGAATCCCTAAAATTTTCGTTAAGGGAAGAGATTTTGCTTTCCTCACTGGTTTTTTCAGAGTCTATCATGGTGTGTGCCATGGTGTAACCACTACGAAGACACACAGTGTGAATAACAATAATGCCAATGTGTACAGAAGGTTTACTATGTACCAGACACTTTACGGGTTGTCTAATTTAAGCTTCCCAACCACACTACAAGGGAGAATACTGGGGTCATGCCTCTTTGATGTAAGAGGAGTACGTGACTTGTCCAGGGTCAAAGATCTAGTATTCTTCATCACTATTATGTGTTGCCTTCCAGCTTGGGGAAGGCAGGAGGGAAGGAGGGAGGGAAGGAGGGAGGGAAGGAAGGAGGGAAGGAAGGAAGGAGGGAAGGAAGGAAGGAAGGAAGGAAGGAAGGAAGGAAGGAAGGAAGGAAGGAAGGAAGGTAGGTAGGTAGGTAGGTAGGTCGGTCGGTCAAACAAAGTTATTGGCAGTGACCTGCCTTCCCCACCTGTCTCCCCACTTTGGAGATGTTTGCTATTCTCTATCCGAAGCTTGGTGGAAGGAATATGTGTATGGGTTGGAGGGGTCAGGACCAGAGAAGAGAATTTGCTTGTATTTGCAGCTTCACTGCTTCTCTCCTTGGTGGTCACTTATCTCACATCAATTCTCTTTCCTGGGTTTTCATCTTCAGCCAGTGGTCGCTCTCTTCTAAGTTCTGGTCTTTACCACTAATGGTTTCTGCCTTTTAGTTTCCAGAGTCCCTAGACTTGAGAACAGTGAGATAAACTGAAGCCTGGAACTGAGCAGTCTGGATTCGAATCAATGCTTTGATTTCTCTTGATTGACCAACTGACTGATTGTTCAGTTGTTTCAATTGCTCAGCCAACAGATATTTTCAGAGTGCCTACTGTCAGGTATCAGCTGCTGTGTTGGACACTGGTGAAATAAAGATAATGGGCACTGTTATTGCTCTCAGTGATCTCCAAGTCCAGTCTAGGAAACAGACAGGGAACCTGATTATTACTATACAGTGTGTAAGTGGTGAGCTCAAAGTAATCACAACCAGCTTTCGGAGCTGGCAGACGGAGGGGACCACTTGTCTTAGCCAGGTTGAGCATGATGCTGATACAGAAAATGCTCAGGGGCTAGGAAAACTCCCCCAGTACTTGTCATTTGTCATTGGATACCCACAGCAGAGCTATGGCATAGGCAGGCCGGCTGTGAAGAAGCCCATTTTCTATATAAGAAAAGTGAGGCTGAATGAGTTATGCTGCAAAAGCCCAAATATAAACATGCAGGCAGATGGTTTATGCCTTATCTAAGTGATTTTCTACTTAGATAAAAGAAGCGTGATGCTCTGGCCTGATGGTACTCCCAAATGTACTTCCTTACTCTCTCAAGGCCGTCTTTCTCGTGCGACTCTCCCCGGGCAGTCTCCACGACAGAGGCACTGCGCTACGCACTGCCCAGATGTGAAGAGATGAAACAAATGCAGACTGTCCTTGCTGTGAGATGGGAAATCACATGAAAAAGATAAGTAGCAATCAAGAAGGGAAACAACTAGAGATACTGCCGATAAACCAGCCATTCAAAAATGGCAGAGCATATGGACATGGTGGACAAAGGGAATTTACCAGACATCCCAGAGCCGTCACCAGCCTGCGGTGGCTGGGACTCGGGGGACAGCTGAAGAGGGACACTGTAGCTGGATTTAGGAGAGTGTCAGAAGCCCAGCTAAGACTGAAGGTCTGAGGTTTACAAATACAGCTCTCCGGGGTTCAACGCCTACCATGTGCCAGGCCCTGGGTTAGGCATTTTACACACACTTTATTTTCATATCTAATCCTTCTAGTAACCCTTCAGTAAGGAAACTGAAGCTGAGAGGGTTAAATTCCCATTTTTCCAAGGTCACACTGCAAGTAAACGAGGCAAGATTTGGATCCAGGTCCAGGTGACACCAAAACAAACCTTCGCTCTCATCTACTGTGCCATCCTGACCCCTCCCTGACTTTCTAGGCTTCACAAAAGTCTCCCATTTCTAGGAAGCCCCCAGTGTTCCTGTTTGCCCACTTAGCATCATGGAAAGGTGGGCCTGAGAACAGACCCTTCGGAGTAGAGGAGAAGAATGCAGAACCAGAGCGCCAGGGCAGGACCAAGCAATGAGGTTCCTCTAGGCTCACAAAAGGAGCGGTCAGTGACTGAACTGGGATCTCCAGGCGAATCCTTTAACCCGTCATTATCACCTGCTTCACAAAGACAGTGAAGAGAAAAAGCCCAACTTCTGCAGCATTTATCTGAAGGAAAATAGGCATATTCCACCTATACCCAAGCTGGAGCCATAGACACTTAATAAAGACAATTATAAACACACCCTGTGCTTATGTGCAAGTAATCAATTGTTCCCAAACAGGACAAAGGAAATGGGTCTTTGCAACAACATATGTGGAAAAGAATGTGAGGTATTAGTCATCAAAAAATCCACGCTGAGCCAGCAATAACTGCAAAAAAACAAATGTGATCTCAAGCTGCGTCAACAGATGCCTAACAGCTGGGAAGAGGGCGGTCCAAGTCCCATTTTGCTCAGCACTGGAGTGTCCCCACCTTGGCGAGGAAGACTGTCAGCTCAGGGGTTATGCTCCCGCATGGGAAAAATTAGGATCTCCGTTCAGAGGACAGGGACCAGGATGGTAAAGTGTCTGAAAAATATTTCACATGAGACTAGCCCAAGAAACCGGGGTTGTTTATTGAGGTTGATTTCCAGAATTTACAGGGTGTCTCTTATTTCCGTCATCAAATTTCCCGAGAGCTGTCTGGGAGAAAGAAGATCAGATCACTTTGTTTGTGGGCATGAAGAACTAGGGACACAGATTTCAACTCAGTAAAAGGAAAAAAACAAAAAAACAAAAAAAAAACATCTAATAGTAATGTCTGGAAATGGGATGGGCTCTTTCCTGAGTAGTGAGAAGGATGTCAAGGGAGGTAATCAAGAGACACCGGAGAGGGGCTGGGCTGCATACCCTCTGAGTCCTCCCAAAACACCAATTTCAGGAACCCTGGCACTTCTTTCTTCTCCCATCACTACCAAAGGACCGGAGAAGACAAACTCTGCTAACCGGGCAGAGAGGGTGGCCATGAAGCCAAAGTGGCTTATCTCGGAAGACACGGCCTGTGTCCCCCACTTCCCAGCCCCTGCGCCTCTCCCCATCTTCCCGAAGTGCCCCTGGCAGAGGGGACGCGACGAGAAGGACTCACCTTTCTTCTCGAAGTTCGCCTTCTCTTCCCCTGGCCGCCCCAGGCTGTCCAGGGCGTGGGCCACCTGGCTGCCGAACTCGTCGTCGCGGGAGGCGTGGTTGGGCCGCCGGGGGGGCTCCTCGTCCTCCTCGCAGTCGTAGTCATCCAGGATGGGGGTCTCCCGGATGGGCACTCCGATGACGGAGTTGTGGGCTTGCAGCCGGGAGGAGCGGAAGCTCTCCCGGGCCTGGGGCCCCAGCAGCACGGACGGGATGTAGTGGATCTCGTGGGTGGCTTCCGTGCTCGCGCTCTTCTGGGGGACGCGGCGGCGCTTCTGCCAGCGCCGCTGGGCATAGAGCGCCACGGTGAACACCAGCAGCAGCAGCAGCAGCGCGATGAGGCCGCCCTGGAGCGGGAAGCAAGAAGGACAAAGACATGGGCCACCGGCCTTTGCACCTGAGTGGCAGAAGAGATTTTCCTGCCCGCCGCCCTCAGCCCAGACCCCTAAATTTGACTCATAGAGCCTTAGGAACCACCAGCCACGGCTTTAACGCTAGAGAGACACTGTTTCCAAACAGGGCTCTGCAACTTTGGGAAAACCGCTCGACTTCTCTGAGCCTTGCCTGTCATGGGTCTGAAGGACGAGTATGAACCCCTGCTCTTCCTTCTTCACAAGGTCGCCGTGAGGAGCGAATGAGACGGACGGTGGTCATGTCAGAGCAACCCAGACTGCTCAGCACTGGGAAGAGCCAGGGCTGTGGCTTCACACGGGCAAGTGTCAGAATCCAGACCCTCCCTCCCCACCCGCTAAGCGACCCCTGAACAGTCGCTGACGCTCTCTCAGCCCGGCCTCCCCACCTCTAGAATGAGTTCACTGAGGGTTCAACACAATGCTTCTTATATCCTGCTACGACTGTAAGATGGCATTACTAAGTCAAACATAATTTCTGCACGGTCTATATTTTCTTCATGTCTAGGAACACTAGTTTTTCCATCTCTGATTCTCAACAAGAGATCTGGGACACAGTAGGTGCTTAAAAAAAATGAAGAAAGAAGAAAAAAGAAAAAGAGAAAGAAAGGAAAGGAAAGGAAAGGAAAGGAAAGGAAAGGAAAGGAAAGGAAAGGAAAGGAAAGGAAAGGAAAGGAAAGGAAAGGAAAGGAAAGGAGAAAGGAAAGGGGAAAGGGGAAAGGGAAGGAAAGGAAAGGAAAGGAAAGAGAAAGGAGAAAGGAAAGGAAAGGAAAAAGGAAAGGAAAAAGGAAAGGAAAGGAAAGGAAAAAGTAAAGGAAGAAAATGCACTGTTCTAGGGCTCCTTCAATCAGAAGATTAAGGTAAACCAAAGTTTATTTTTCTTTAATACATCCAACTCCTGAATGTTCGAGTCTATGTATCATATGTGAATATGAAATAAGCTAATAAATATCTTACATGATATGAGACTCATGAAACACCCTGGTCTGTGAGATCCTTAAGGACCAGGGCATTTGCAAAACACGCCTGTGTCCCCCACAACACCCGCCGAGGGCTTGAACTGGACGACCTGCATTCTGCTGGCCTCCCCTCAGTCCCTCTGTGCCGGAACCCTCTGTGGTGGGAAGGCCCCGTCAGTTATTGTGCTTCCCGTTTGGGAGACTGGAGGGCACTCTGTCGAGTCCCTGCCACGTAATCCCCGAAGTTGAGAAGGACGACCCTTGTTAGGTACGGGCCACAAGTCACGAGACTCAGAAACTCAGGCAGTGCGTAACTGAGCAAGATCTGAGCCTCGTTTCTTGTGTGTCTATTCTGTTTGGTTTTTTACTTTAAAGTCTATGATGAGAAATCAGGAAGACAGAGAGACTAGAAAAGGAGAGTGAAGACAGGAAAGGGCTGGGAGAAACACTATAAATACCGTGGTGTTCCTCTCTGTACCTCTCCATAAACACCGTGGTGTTCCTCTCTGTACCATTTTTACTTAACGCTGCTCTATTTAATCTGCAAGACAAGCCTATGTGATAGAGATTATAGTTTGTGCTCTAAAAATGAGGACAAGGTGGTTCAGAGAAGTTAAGTCACTTGCTTGAAGTCGCACAGCCAGGATTTAATCCCAGGTCCAGCTGGGTTCGAAAGGCCAGAAGACGCTGGCGCTGCGGCTGGACCCCAGCTCTCCACTGCTTGGCCAGTGGTCACTGGATAGAAACGTGGACACAGCATCCAGGATTCTCACCGACCAAAGGCAGGGTGAGGGAGAGGGAAACGGGGACAGATGGTGAGGGCACATAAAGGGGGCAAGCTGAGAAGAGAAAAGAATTTCAAACCCTTGATTCAAAGGGCACATCTTGGGACTGCTTTTCAGAGAAGCTTTTTATCCTGGCCCGCTGCCCCCATGCCTTCGGGGAGCCTCCTCGTCTGACCCAGCCCTCTCTCTTCCCACCTTTGCATGTTTCTTTCGCTGTGAAGCTCAGACCTTGCCTGGTTCTACACCCCTTCCCCCCTAGCCCCCTCTGCCCACCCCAGTTATGGTTGTCGGACACTGGGGTCAGATCCCAGCCCCAACGCTGACCTAGGAAATGCAAGGGCTGACCAACCCATCCACCTGCAGCTACTACTGCCCCTCCTTCTCCCCCTGCATCCCCACAACCCCTCCCTTGGATCCCCTGTAGTCCTGCATCCGCTCATAAATCCACTCTGGGAGCCCCTGGAAGGCAGGAAGCCGCACCCTTTGCCTCAGGAGCTTTGCAGCAGTGCCTGGCACAGCGGCTAAGAGCTGGTGTTAGACTCACCTGGTTTCTGTCCAAGATCTGCTAGTTAGAGACTGCATGACCTTGACTAAGTCGCTTTATCTTTCAGAGCCTTGGTTTTCTCAGGGTTAAACAAGGACAATATGCATAATGCCACCGCACTGGGTCATTGTGAGGGCTATGTAAGGTGCTTGCAGGGTACTTAGTACAGTGTGGGCACAGGTCACCGTTCACAGATTGTTAGCTATTATCATGGTCAACAGCATTCAGCAAGCACATATATAGTGCTGAATAAATAAAGGAGTGAATGAATGAATGACTTGAACTTCTGTCCCTGAATGCCCATTCTGCATGGGTTTGGGTCTCCACACCTTTCTCATTCTGGACCAGGTCTCTTGACCTGGCAGGATCAAGTACTTGATATATGCTTGGCACACATACAACTGTCCTTTTCCTACACGGAGTTAGAAACCGAGGCACAGAGACAGCAGGTCATGCACTCCTGGTAATGCCGCTGACATTCAAACTCACTTCAGCATGACTTTAAAACTGTACCCAGGGTGGAGCAGGGACAGAAGCAGGAAGGCCTCATCAGTCCCTGCCAGGTCTCTCTTCGGCCTCATCAAATGACCTAGGCAATCTCAGGTACAGGAAACTTCCAGAAGGTGGCAGAGGGACCCCCTGGCTTTGGGAGGCACTAAGGGCTCCCTTAGCTTACTAATCCACTTATCCTTCAGCCCATGGCCTCGTCATCTGATATGAGCCCAGGCCAGTGGCTCTGACCCTCTCTTTAGGGTGCAGGCTCCTTGTCCTCACCCCACAGCATATCCTGATATCAGTGCCCATGTGGCTTCTGTTACAGACTGGAGCTTCATCGTAAGAACTCAGCCAAAGCAGAATTCCAGTACCCGGGGGCTCACTGTGCCACTGCCTACTGAACAGACCTCCCCAGGCTGGGGTTCTGAGGGCTCAGGGGCCTCATCTGTGACTTAGTAATGGCGTGGATGATGTTACAAGTATCATTCTGGCCAGCCCTACCTTCCCAGTCTCTGAATAAGCAGTAGAGTGCATGCAATTGGGGACAATCTCAGAGCACGCAGGAAAAGGGTTCCAAATTCAGGTTTCCTCACTGCGTGACCTTGGGCTGTCCCCTACAGACCCTTAGCTTATCACTCATCTATAAATTGGATGTGGCCAATACTTGCAACAGAACGTCACATAGGAGCAGCAAGGAGTGGGGGCAGTAACACAGTTAAAATCTAAGGCTGCCACACATCTGCTGGGCCATCGTGGACAAGGGACTTAATTTCTCACAATCACGATGTGATCATCTGGAAAACTGGGTGCAAAAGTTCCTTCTAGAGGGAGGTGAGATATGGGACACTTCGCTCAGCGCCTGACACATGGCAAACCTATACTACAAGAGAATTCCCATTCGTGGTAGCCGCAGAGTTATTGTGCAAATGTGATTTGAAAACAGCTGCAATACTCCTTGCAAACTGAAAAGTGCTGTGCACAAGCAAAGGAGCTCAGAGAACCCTTTGGCCACCTCTGTCCTAGTGGGACATTGCACCCAAAGCAAGCAGATGAGTGAGTCAGAACCAAAGAGAAACCGCAGTCTGGGTCCACCTGCAGCGGTGTAGGCTGCGTACTGGCCCATGCCCACAGACTTACACTCCCGCCTCTTCACCGCTTCCCACCCAGAGGCAAGCAAACACAAGGGCAGGGGCAATCGATCCGTGGCCGAGCAGGGCCAGAGCGTCCAGCCTCTGAGTACACACGAGGAGCAAACACAAGCGCTGGAAAAAACGCTGCAAGACAAGAGGGGAGCCCAGGAGGGAGGAAACGACCTAAGGCAAAGGCTGTGAATTTTTAGAAAGCAAGCGAAGAAGAGGCCGAGCCTCCAGGGGCAGCACACGGAGGCCCTGCTGACCCAGTGCCAAATCCGATTTGGGCTGTGCTCACTCTAGGGCGGCCCTAGACAAACGAGGTTGAAGAACCGGCTGCAAGTTCCAGAAATAAAAATGCCAGTCTACTAGTTATGGGTTTGTTTCTGTGAGGTTGTAAGCTGGACAGGTCTGGGGTGATTTGTTTTACCGTCTCCTTACAAGTCTGAGAATCTCACTAAGCTGTCAGGCAGAAAGTGGAGAAGAGATGAGAGAAGGAAAGTGTGTCCCCATCCCTTCTGGAACCTTCCATACTCGAAGTCTCTCTAGGTAGGATCAGCCCGCTCCTCTTTGCTCTAATAATGAAAGTGAGTCTCAGATTCCCCAGCGGGGCCAGGCAGGGGTGAGGGTGGGAGGTGTCAGGGCAGAGCACTGCGATGGGGACACGGAGAGTCTGGGGACATGACGGCCAGCGTGTGCAGCCTGCTTCCCGGCTTGCTGCTGGCTGTGACAAGCTGGTTGCAATGCTTTACCTCCTTGGGCTGCAATAGGCTCTCTTTAAAATGAGGCTGATTGTTCACAAAGTGAAGAATTATGCTAGGGATTAAAGGAGACAATAAAAGGTCTGCACAAAGGATCTGGCACCACGAAGGTCAACAAATGCCAGCTTCGTTCCTGCAGCATCCCTACTGTTCTATCCCAAACCAAACCCTTTCACCCCACTGCACCCCTTGCTTCAAACCCTTTTCTGGCTCCCCAGGGCCCTTAGAATTAAGTCCAGACTCCTGGAAGCCAAGGCCCTTCA